AGTTCCTGAAGAATTTATGTATAATCCTCTGACACGATCTTACGGAGAGCCTCACAAACGGCCGGAAGTCCAAAATTCTACTGTGGAATTCATTGCTTCCTCAGACTATATGGTAAAAAAAAGTTTTCATGGTAACTTCCAGGAACAATTGCATGTTAATATAAATGCGTTTGAAATGAATGTTGCACATTGCTCCAGTGGTGAATATTAATTTGTCTGTGAAGGTCCTGTTAACATCAAATAAAATTAAAATTTGTATTTATTTTGAGTTTTGGCAAATGTAGATATTCAGAGGATTGTCAGTTAAGGGCAATTGCAATGTGTGTAGTGTAGTTTAATGTGGCATAATCTGGTTTGAGTCTGATGCAACATGATTTCTGGGTGTCCCCTCGTTTTGAAGAGGTTTTGAAAGACCGCTAATGGAATAACGAGAGAATTAAGTCAGGTTCAGATTTTTAGTTAGTAATTGTGACAGAAACAATTCCAAGTAGGAGTCAACCTACAGTCGCTGTGACAGTAGTCTTGTCTCCAAGAAAGATAAACAAGGCCTGGGAAAAGGCCCAGTTCGTGATGAGGTTAACAGCAGCAAAAATACATTGTTCTCTTGTCTTTGAATTGAAACACTGGTTAAGACATGTGGCAATGAATAAATACAGCTTGCTGTATGATTGGGAAGAGGATGTAGAATATTTTAACCCTCAGTGAATCACATTGTCCACATCCTTAAAGAACAGTGGTGTTTTGAAGAGTGAAGTATTGGACATCAAAGAGTCATGTTTGAGTTGACTTGGAATGAGAGACTAAAATATCCAATTTCTGTTCTAAAGCATAACACTGCGTGCTTATTACAAATGGGAATTATTAACCATTAGGAATTGTGGTTAAGTCTATCCACATGACTCTTACTTAAGTAAATCAGTTTTACTGTATAATGTATACCTTGCACTTTTCCAAGTATTCCCTTTTCCCACTTCCTTTCTAATGACTAATCATTTTTAACATTACTTTAAATATGATTTTTGAACTTTTTTTTTTTTTTACTTTGTAGCTTCGTCCTCCTCAGCCTGCGGTATATTTATTTGTTTTAGATGTGTCTCATAATGCAGTGGAGGCTGGATATTTGACAATAGTCTGCCAGTCATTGCTGGAAAACCTAGACAAGTAAGAATATAATTAACCTTTTGAAATTAGCTAACATGTTATTAGGAAAAATAGTAACCTACAGTTTTGCAGAGAACTTGCATAAACATTTGTGTTTAAACATTCTGTCCCTAAAGGACACAAGTTCTGTTGCCTGAGATTCTGAAATGCAACTTACATGTCTGAAAAAAAAACAAAACCAAAAAAACCCCACCACCAACCCAGCAAAAAAGTCAACCCCTCCCCAATATCAGCTGTGGAAGCACTTTACGTGATGAGAACGATCTTCCCTGCATGTGATTAAAGGTGGATCTGCAAGTAATTTACTTACTTATCTGCAAAGAGTATTTAGCTGTAACTTCTAACAACAGCTTGATTGTGCAAACGTCTGTAAAATGTGTGCTTCCACTCTGCCAAGACCAACAAAAATAACTAAATTACAGAGATTAAATTGGCAGGTTCATGTGCTGAAACAGCTGAGGTGCTGCGTACTGGAATGTTGTCACCACTAGTGTGAGACTGCCTAGCTGAATTGTGTTGTCAGTTTGGGTTTTTTTAGATCACGGTTACCGAGATCTACCTGTGCTGCTTTGTCTCTGTTCTCATTTTTGTACTGGAACAGCATGGGTGGGATTGGTGGTGGTGCTTTTGGAGGGATGGTTGATAAACTTCAGTATGTTCGTGTCTTGAAAACTAATTTGCATCTGTGGAGGCCTTGATCTGAAAATTGTTTTCCACAAGTTTTTCTTCAGAAACTTGATTTTAATAAAGACACCAACATGTACAATAAAATTCTTTGCTTACATTTATTGATTTAGTCTTTATTTGTTCAGATCTTTATGGGTATTTTGTCAACAGATTCTCAGAAACGTGCTAAATTATTCTAGGAAAATTCATAAAGTCCCACGCAAAGTCTATACGAAAATCAGTACCTTCAGTTCATTTGTATACCCAGATGGTAAAAACAATTATTTGCCTCTGTTGCTTTTGTTCACTGTCATGGTTTTTGGCACTTGCTGATGTTTTATATTTTATTTGAGAAATCCTGTGTAGTTTTTCTTTTTGTATTTTTAATGCCGTACGTAGGAATATAGTCAGCATGAGAATTAAGTATGTTGCTTTGTAGAGACATGGGATTTTGGTTTAGAGCTGCAAGTACCCTGTAACTACGTTACTAAATGGGTTTTTTGGACTATGAAAGAGCAGAATTGCCATTTTCTATTGAAGAACTGAGAAGGCTACCTTCTTTTATGTGTCAGTGTAATGTGGAAATGAACCCATTAAGTTCTCTCTTGGAACAAAATGTCGATACATTAATGAGTGCTTACCTGTAACAGTTTTGTATACTGTATGATTATTCCAGCTCTTCAGAAAATACTGAAGAAATATTACTTGAATTCATGTTTCAGATCTCTCTTCTTTTGCTCTCTCTTCACCCCTGTATACATGAGCTAAGTTTCTGCTAACATCTGCAGGAGCTGTGTGTATGTATTTGTCTTGAGAGAAATTTAGGGCTTAATAGTTTATTTTTTAATGCTTCAGGCTGCCTGGAGACTCAAGAACAAGAATAGGGTTCATAACGTTTGACAGCACTGTTCAGTTTTACAACTTGCAAGAAGGTTTATCTCAGCCTCAGATGCTGATTGTCTCAGATATTGATGGTAAGTAAAAAGAAAATGGAAACTAAATTTTTGAAAAGCTACTTTTTTTCCCAGAAGACAGATTAGAAACTCTCAAACATTCTGCTATAGGTCAGTTTTATTGAATGTATAGAGGATATATTTTTAAAAAATGTTCTTAGGCTAACTACAGAGTAGATGGTGTTTAAGAAGTGAAACTCAAATGTTGATTTTGCTTTGAATAAAACAAGCTTTGTATAAACTGTATTATTCTCTCTAATATATGTATCAGAAAAGTAGACTGTATTTTATGGTATGTATAGCAGTGGGCAGTGAAATGTTTTGTACTATTTTAATATTAATTTTTTCTTTAATAAAATGTTTTTTTACATTCTCCCTACAGATATTTTCCTACCTACACCAGATAGTTTACTTGTAAATCTCCATGAAAGCAAAGAGGTATGTTTGCTGAAAATATATCATGAAATTTCAAGAGGTAAACATTCAAAACAGAGGTTCCTTTTAAACTTTGAATTCAAGCCTATCTTCATAATACTTAATTTCAATGCTACTTTTTAATTATAAAAGTATTACATGTTGTTTGTGTGATGCATCATAATTTTTTAAAATTGTGATTTTGTTTTCCTTAGTGTGTTGAAACTAAGCTGAAATATTTGGTACTGGTTGTTCATCACTTTAGTTATGACAGTACAGCTTTTTAGAAATAGTAGAAAATCTCAAGCTTGCAGAATCTCATAAACACCTTGCAATCTGTTCTACAGCTGATAAAAGATCTATTGAATGCATTACCAAATATGTTCACCAATACAAGAGAAACACACAGCGCGTTGGGCCCTGCTCTTCAGGCTGCGTTTAAACTGATGTCTCCAACGGGTGGTCGGATATCGGTGTTTCAAACTCAGTTACCATCTTTGGGAGCAGGGCTTTTGCATTCCAGAGAAGATCCCAATCAAAGGTCAAGCACAAAGGTACATAAACTTCCTGTAATACTCGTCTCATGAAACTGGGGATTTGCCACGTCTTTCTGACTTGCATAGTTCTGCAGATCAGCTCTTGGTTTTTGTTTATAACACTTAACTAAATTTTAATTATTCAATGTCTATGTTTGTGTGTTTAAGATGACTAATTTATACATGTATGTGTGGTATTACTGATTTCAAAGTGCATGGGTTGTCTCTTGGGCCTTTGGACCATAGCTTTTCGTGGCAAGCCAAAGAAGCTGCAAATACCTCAGACAGATAATATCAATGTCAGTTTTGAACCAAACCATGGATATATTACATTGTAGACCTAAAACAGTATTTTTTTACTGGCTTTATGGCCTTGTAGTTTACAGCATCCAGTAAGTGTTACATAGTTACATGAATGTTTATTTGTATGAGAACATAAACTTCTTTGAAAGTAGTATCATAACTGCTTGTAAATACAAGCTAAAAGAATGTGGAGCATAAGGAAAAGAATTTCTGCAGGTGGAGATGCCTATAAATTATTGCTTAAAGGAAACTTCTTTGTGATATGTTGCTACTGAATAGTATGTCTTTTGTTCCATGAATTCTTAAGAGAGCACAATCATTGTCGTAACTCTTTCCTACATAATTTATTCACCAAAGGTGGTCCAGCATCTTGGTCCAGCAACGGATTTTTATAAGAAGTTGGCACTGGACTGCTCAGGCCAGCAGACTGCTGTGGATTTATTTCTCTTAAGTTCACAATATTCTGATCTAGCTTCTCTTGGTAAGGAGTACCTAATATTCACCCTTTTCACATTGTGTCTTACTTCAGAAGCACAGGCTACTTCAGGAATTCTTAAATCATGTAAATCTTTTTGCACTTTTGTAAATGCAGCTAATGCTGCAAAGGAATTGACTTTGAAGTTGATAGAGTAAAGAACAAGAGTATTTGATTGGTGGTAGCTGACAATTTATTCTGGGATTTCACAGTTTTAAACGAGAAGGTACTCTCCTGATCAAGAACAGGAAACAGACAGGTGGCAAGAAATGAACAAAATTTAATTGCAAGGGTTGAACAGAGTTCTCTTCTTGCAGTATTAAACCAAGGTTCATCTCTGCACACAGGCTTAATTTTGCCTCTACACTGTTAAAAATTTCTGCATGCAGTCATGTATTGGCTGCCAAAGGTACCACGCTTTTTGAAGTAAGTGTACGATTAGATAATTGTGTATCGGAGTGACTCATCACTGTCTTCATGGGCCTGAGTCTGGGCCAGTTCTCATTGTCTTACAGATGTGCGTCCATATCAGGAAAAAGATGAAACATAGATGTGAATTGCAGAAGGTTGGACACAGTTTTTGTGTCCTGACATCGTGTTATGGTTTTACTTCTTAACCGTATGTCTTCCTCCTTCGCAGCATGCATATCCAAGTATTCTGCTGGTTGCATCTATTACTATCCATCTTTCCATCGTAGCCATAATCCTACTCAGGCCGAGAAGTTGCAAAAAGACCTTAAAAGATACCTTACAAGAAAGATAGGATTTGAAGCAGTTATGCGCATAAGGTGTACAAAAGGTAGGTTTTAGCTACTGATTCGTATGTAGAAGTTGATGTAAGCATGTTAACTGTCATTTTGAATGCACTTAGTCTGTAACAACGTTAGATTTCAGGTTATTTCTTTTTTGCTGAAGAGTAAGATAATTACCTTCTTCATGTAAGTTACGCTAGCTTTTGCTATTTGGGTATCTGGGTTTCGGCGTGTTTGTTTTTTTTTACTTAAGATGGCACCATCCTCACTTCAACTAAGTTGACGTGTAGTGTAAAGGCTCATTTAGTTTGGAGTGTTCAGAATTGAACGTGAACTCTACAAGATTGTGCTGAAATGTCTCATGATGCATGTAATTGATTCTGCATGATGGAATAAGTATTTTTACTGTTTTCTGAAACATAGCTTGAGGGCTGTGGGTTTTAATTATTGATAGGAGTTTGTCATGCTGTTTTAACCTCACTTTGAATTACTTAATCTGCTTCTAGGTCTTTCAATACACACTTTTCATGGGAACTTTTTTGTACGATCTACTGACTTATTGTCCCTTGCCAATGTCAATCCTGATGCTGGATTTGCAGTACAAATGTCCATCGAGGAAAGTCTGACTGACACGTCTTTGGTTTGTTTTCAAACAGCTCTTTTGTATACTTCCAGCAAAGGTAAATAAATTCAAATGAATTGGCCACTGACGTTTTTGTTTCTTTTTCTAACATAATGTTTGTATAGTTAGTTCCACAGCCTTTTGTTGTTCTCTATACCATAGGAGAATCTTCTCAAATCTAGTGAGCCTACTTGGCAGTTAATCGCATAATGTAGATCCGTATAAACTCTCTTTTGGTGGGAAAATGTAATTTATGTCCATCTTACATAGAGCTGGTTCAGCAAGATTCCTCTACTTAAAAGGCATACTGTTCTAAGCAATAACATGTTTGGCACTCGCTTTGTCCAAAATCACAGACCCGTGATGGATCGAAGCAAGCTGCTGGTACATTGGGTGGGCATAAAGAATAGCAGCTACTTTCTGTTGTGGACGATGCCACAGTATTTTGGGATGGAAATCAATGTACTTCATTAGTACGATCAAGACACTTATTGTGTATGTTATAAGCTAGTTTGTGTTATGAACTTGTGCTGATTCATAAGTTGAGTGCTTTAGAATGTTGCTGAATTTGAACAGGTTAAGAGACAGGAACAGGAGATAGTGTTACAGCAATTTTGAGAGTGGTGTGTTTTTACGAAACGAGTACAAGATGAGAGGGGATATACTGTAATGACTGAATTTGTATACCTCTTTCTACCAGGAGATACTGCATAATGATTTCTACTTACTTATATTAGGTGAACGTCGAATTCGAGTGCACACGCTTTGCTTGCCTGTAGTAAGCTCACTGGCTGATGTATATGCAGGAGCGGATGTACAAGCAGTTGTATGTCTCTTAGCGAACATGGGTGAGTACAGACCAGGAAGAATCAAATATCTTTTTTTATGTTCTTAATTTTGCTAGTCGATTCAATGAAGTAGTGAAGGAAGCCTGAATATTGTAGAAGAAGGTTGGAGTGGAGCACACTGAAGCCTAAGAATACAAAAGGTGACAAAATCAAAGTTATACGAAAGCTATTAACTGAAATATTCCTTAGTCTGAATATTTACTGGACTTTAATCTTTTGAAAGGAGCCTTCTTACATTTGTTTTCTAGAGTTTTTTAAAGGACAAAGAAACATAACCCTCATTTTTGTATCATCATCATGGTTCTTATCTCAAACTTCAGCATTCCAGGATTACTTAAGAAACAGAGTGATTCAGTTCAGTGAGTTGCTGGAGTCTAAAAGGGAACTTCCGACAACAGTGTATCCATGATATACCTTAGTTTTCTATGCTTCTGTCCTGTCGTTGCTGGATTGAGGTGTCTTATTTATCCCCTGCTTGTGGGTCATAAGTAGCTGTTTCATAGACTGATCTCTGCCATTGAACGCCTGTGAGTCTATGCAGCATTTAGTACATGCTGTGTTGTATATTAATAGTCAAATACATCAGAATAAATAACTAGCAGTTACGCATCTCATCTTAAATGTGCATTCAGTCCAGCAGGTGGCTTCCTCCAACCAAAGGATTTGCAGCCCTTTTTTAGCAGAGAAAGGTGAAGCTTTATTTACTTTAGGAGAAAAGATGAAGCTTTATTTACTAATTGTAATTATGCCACGGAAATAAGGGAAGGTATTTCGGGGGAGGGATCAAAAATAATTGCTGTAAACCTTATCTTGGAGATAGGACAGCAGAGAGTTTCATCAATAGATAAGTTATTTGTATAAAGTTTAAAACAGGATTTATATTTAGTCTTGAATATATACCGCAGTTTTAAACAATTTTTTAAATTCTCCAAGAGCAGGAACTAGAGAGTGAAGATCAGCCACACTGTATTTTTTAAGCATCATGAAAGTGAGTTTCTGTATGGGCAATCACCTTATTTACACCTAAAAAAAAAAGTTAGGACCACAGGTGTGGGTTCTTTAAAAATCTTAAAATATCACCCAACACAACTACTATTTTCAAAATTCGAGGGAATGAATAAGGCTAACTCTAGTAACTCCTTGTATCCTTCTAACCCAACAGCTGTGGATCGCTCAGTTTCATCTAGTCTTGCAGATGCAAGAGATGCCTTAGTTAATGCTGTGGTAGACTCCTTGGCAGCATATATGTCAGCTGCCTCAAATCTGCAGCAGTCCATGCTGATAGCACCAAATTCCCTCAAGCTGTTTCCACTGTATATTTTGGCCCTTCTCAAACAGGTATGTACAATCTAGTGGATTAATGTTTGATATTTAATTCATTGTTCCATTTGAGAAATTCTATAGCTTTATGTCTGCACTTTTCTAAAATTATGAAAATTGGCTTATCCTCTTCAAGCTGACAGAACTCCTATGTAAAAGATGACCATGTCAGCTTATTTTAAATTATTAGTACCTGACCAGTTTCTTGGTTTACTTGATTTTGAATGTTTTATATGTTGTCTTATTTTGTTTTACAGTGAAAATAAATATATATATATATATATATAGTAACAATTAGCATTGGCAGATTTTGGCAGCTAATTGATGTTGCTCATAAAGACTGTTGGAAGCTGCTTGATAGTGCTTCTTCAGATTTATTTTATGAAGAAAAAACAAGTCAATTATTTTTCAGTGCACATACTTTGTACTTCAAAGTACAAAGAAGTAAAATGAGTTTCTATGGAGATACAATGAAATCTATTACAGAAACTGAAATTATATAGTTTAAAGTTCATACAGAAGTAGTTACCACTTCCTGATATTTTTTTTAGTATCTTTGTTTGTATTACCAAACATCATATTTAAAAATAAAATGATCACTTACTGCAGTTAAGTGCAGTTTTTGTTATCAGTGAACCTCACAGATCAAAGATTTTCTTGTCTGACAGTTCTTTGTTTTCTTATCATGAACAAAACTTTATGGAAGTTTGGTAAGAAATACAATCATAATTTATTTTCTTTGGCTTAGTGATTACTTCAGTCTCTAATATACTGATTAGGACTTCTTTGGTACTTGTGTAAGTAATGCGGTTAATAAATGGTCTGGCTTTTTCTCCACCATTATCAGGAGGGTCCATGTAAAAGACAGAAGTAGGAATGGCTGAAAAAATAGGTTTAAGGGTTTTTTACTGTCTTTGTTAACAATAAGGAAAACACCTGGGATACAGAGAAACCAAAACCAAAATGCTTATGGCAGCCAAGGAGAAGAGGACTCTGTACTTATCTTTGTTCTAGAAGTGCGTATGAACTTTGATTGTAGGAATATTCTCTGCTGTATCAGAATCAGGTGCTTACTCCATTGTGTTGCTTTTTCTAGCGATTGTTTAGTGATTGCTTTTAAAGGAGATCTGAAAAATCTAGTAGGAGAGAGAGTTACAAAATAAATTTTGTCCTATGAAAGCCTAGTTTCTGCTTTAAAACGTGAAAGTATATTTCTCTTCCAAAGCTTTTCCTTAACATTTAATTCTTACTAATATAAAATCAGACAATCTTCTTACCTACAATAGTATCTTTTTTGAATTCTACTAATCTCGTATCTTCCTGTGATATCTTGCATTGGTGAGTTTCACAGGCCAGTAACATCTGTCAAGAATAAAAATGAGAAATGCTGGCTCAATCACATACGGATTTTATATCAGTGGGGGAGGAATTTTTTCTATTCTGCTTCATCCAATAAAGAGGGAGAACAGATTAAGGTTTAAAATGTACTGTATTCAAGTTGTATTTGATTAAGATTCTAGTGTATCTCAATAAGGTACATTTCTTTACAAAAGCTTTGCCATCTTTGACACTTCAAAAAAATCTGAAATACACCATTTAGATGTGACATAAAATATAGGATCTATCTGAGTAACAAGACTGTTCTCTTACAGAAAGCATTTAGAACAGGCACGAGTACACGCTTGGATGATCGCGTATATGCAATGTGCCAGATGAAGAGCCAGCCTCTTGTTCATTTGATGAAAATGATACATCCCAACTTGTACAGAATAGACAGGTTGATTGATGAGGTAATATACGAAACCTGTTTTATAACATTTTCTAGTTTTAATGGGATATTAAACCTGATGTTGTGCTGCAATAATTTAATTAAAAGTTGTTGTAATTTAATGTGAGCGTTTTCTGTAAGTTATAAAAGAAATCAAGAAAAACATTTATTTTCCAGTTTTAAGTTGCAAGTACATTAGTGTGCTATGAGAAGAACTGTGATTTTATTTCATTGTGTTTCAGTGACCACAATAATTCCATATTTTTCTATTATACAAGGAAAGTGGAGAAGATTTTATGCATTGGAAACATCCCCAGTGTAGTTTTGTGTTTTAGAACTGTCTAGTGGAAATGGATTAAATAGACTTGGTGGAGGATTCTAGGTTTTGTGTATTGAAACCAGGTAAAGTTGCCTGCAATAACAAACTTCCAGTGGTTTCCTCAGACTGATGTGGATGAAATAGAATTGTACTTCTGGATGGTCATGATCAGCCTGAGGAAGTACTTCATGACAAAACCAGTTTTTATTAGTTTGCCTTTTACAGAGGATGGAATTTTTAATAGTGAAACGTAAGATAGGATTTTATTTAGGGTCAAAGTTAGTTTTAATTGCAAAAATAAATTGTTTTTTTAAGTAAGTTTTCACAAGCTTGTTAGTCGTAACTAGCTTTGGAAAAATACATGTAGGAATTTTTCAAATGGCCATATAATCTTGTATGACACTTGAGTAGGTTGTCTGTCAGTTGGTATTGTTCTGCACAACCTGTAAGCTATTTATAGTCTCAAAGTTTCTTTCAAAGTATTTCATAGACTCACATACGTGAGTTTAAACTCAGTATTCTTCAGTGGAATTAAATAGTTGGTCTTTCTATACTTCTCCCCCCGGTACTTGAGAAGCCAGCTTCTTCAACTAACCTTTTTAAGCTTTTTGTAGAACTTACACTGAAACACTATATTCAGTGTGTAAAGAGCCATCAGTCTCTCTGGGAGATCCAGTTTTATTAGCAAAGGGTTTCAGAACAGTTATTTCTAGTGGAACAATACAGAAAATAGGGCTTACTTACCTACCGAAATTAATCGACAAACCACGTTTTAAATCATGTAACAGAGTGCTAGTCTGCTGTTTAGTACTACTCCAGTTTAAAGTACTTGTGACAGAGGCTGTTCTTAAATTTCTTGTTTCATTAGGAAATTCTATTATATATATTTCAGATTTTTAATTTATTCCTTTGCTGATTTTCTTTTCTCTTAACGCTTGATTCTTGAGAGCATTGAATAAAGCCTGGAATTTTCCCAGTGGAATTCAGTAGTATGTATAAATCTCAAAAAAATTCTCATCTATTGCATTATAATATGGAATTTTTAAAATAATGATTTCTGATAATCTTTTACCACGTGGAGATGTGCTTACACTCTAGACTGTTTTTTTTTCTTTCCCCTACATTATTTGCAGAATGCTTCACAGATTCTTAATAGATATTCAGCCTATTTTTGTATTGGAAGGGGAAGCAGCTTTAATCTGAAAATGCTGGGGGGGTTGGGGTTTTTAAATTTTGTTTGCTTGTTTTTATTTCTGGGGAGGAAGAGATGGTTGTTATTTTTTAATAATGTCATTGGTAACAGTCAGATTGATCAGATCAGTCATAGTGCTCTGTGGAAAAACCCATGTATCGCTTCAGAGGGGATGTTAAATCAAGGAACTTTCTGTTACTTGAATGCAGTAAAATAGCGAACCCTTATAGGGAGTAGAATTTGACAGTTTTCTGCTCTCGCAACATTTCTAGTGAAGTAGAACTCAATGAAGAAATCTGCAAAAGTTGTTTGTGGAAAAATGAAGTGTAGACACTATAATTCTTTTGATAGCTTGGTATCTATAGCATGAGAAATATTACATACACAACTTAAATGAGCTTGCATTATTCTTTTTTAGGTAATAAAGTAGCCTTTAGGTTAAGTAACATTCTAGATTTGCTTGTGCGTGATCATTTTAGGCTTAACATGGCATTTTGTTACATGAGAATCCTCATTTTTTCTGGAGATTAACAAATGTTTTTCCTGTTTATTTTACCTGGTTAAGATAAAAAATGATTTATTTATATTAATAGTGTTACTGAGTATTGTTTGTTGTTACAGAGTACAATACATGTAAATGACAGAGTTGTTCCTCAACCACCTCTTCAGAAGTTGTCTGCAGAGAAGTTAACAAGGGAAGGAGCTTTTTTTATGGATTGTGGTTCAGTAAGTTACCAGTTTCACACGTTCCTTTTTCATTTAAAAAAACCAATGCATGCTGAATTATTAAAAGCAGTCAACTCTCAAGAATAACAATGTAATAAATCAGCATTCCAAGTCACCTGGCAGTCATCTGTGTTCCAGTGAAAGGCTTTCATATTTTGATCAGAGGACTGTCTTTAATTGAGGTTGCATATTAAGGCTTCAGAGGTTAAGATTTTTCGTGCTAGACTGATTGGAATACACCAAGAGTTGTCATCAAGGGTTTTTTTCCCCCCCCGTGGAAGTAGTGGATTTTCATTTTCAAAAATTTCTCTTAATGGTTATTAAATTGTATATACTACAGTCTCTCTAATAAAGCACTTCTCATTGATGCAGGAATACTTCTCAGGTACACACAAATATAGTGGTTTTATGATTTGTGGCTTGTGTGACGTAAGAGTTGCAAGAGAGAGAAAATAGTGGGGAGTGAACAAAATCTGTAGATACAGTGTAAGGTAATCATAGAAATTACATTAAAATAATTAGTTAGATAAAGCATTATGCTACTCCAATAACGTGATAAAACATTATGCTACTCTAATGGCAGTCTAGAAATTGCTTTAAAACTTGTGTGACTTTAGGAGCTGAGTGTGAACGTCAAACTGGCTTCTGTCTCCAGATGTCTGAAATAATTGCTTTAATGTGTTTTGATAACCAGTGCTTTACTATGACTTGTTTACACTGGTAAGTCAGTGTGCAGTAACTGACAGAGTGATGTGACTTTATAAAATTCTTGGTTTTTCATTTTAGGAGGTAACATGGGAAGTTAATGCATTAACCGTTCCTATATACGTGTCCTGTGTCCTCGTTCTTTCAGTATTTGCATTCTATCTGTATTTTTTACATTTAATGAGATTATTCCAAATGCTACTAATTTATTAATAAGTAATAAGTAAATATACAAATAATGAATATAGGGATGTATATATCTCAAGTGATTCATTTGCATAAAAGGTATTATTAGAATTACGTCACCACTTGTCTCTCTCTAAAATGTAGGCAAGGCCTTTACTAAACCTGATTCTGACATCTTACAGATTTTTTACATTTGGATTGGAAAAAACTGTGATAACAACTTCATAAAAGACGTCCTTGGATACCCAAACTATGCATCAGTACCACAGAAAATGGTAGGCATTTTAATGAGCTGTGCACTATAGTGCTTACATTTGGGATCTGTATTTACTCTACTTTTTCTGCATCTTCAGTTTTTAATTATGTAACTGTTAATTAGAGGGTTTTTTATTGGGAATCTTCTGACCTCTTGCCAGCTTCATAGGAGACAGGTGGAACTTGTCAAATGCTTTCAATAAAAGAATGTAAATATGTAAATTTTGGCATTCATAAAATGCCAAAAAGTTGTTCTATGATGTTCTTCTGTTATTTTTGTAGAAATACATGTGGGCTCACAAGAATAGGATGGGATTTCATAGAATGGATACAAAAATTATCTAATTAGAAGTGTTAATGCTTAAGATTATTTTATTGATGTCATAGTTTTCAGAAGCCTTGTGTTCTCCAGACCTGGTGTAAGATACTGAGTCTATGGTATTAGGTGATAGGCCTGTAAGTAAAGGCTGAGAGTTAAGTTTTGCACAGCTTCCAAGCCTGAGTGAATGTTAAAAAGAAATACTTTTAGCTATTAGAACATCAAATGTGCTTGGATAAGTGTTTTGGTGGAGACGAGGTTTTGTGTTATAACCTGTAGTCTTGTGCGTGAAACGGCAGCAATTAAAGAGAAGACCCATCTTCTGTGGGTAGTGATTCCAAAATGTCAACAAGTAGTGGGTAAGGATGGACCGTTTTAAGACACTCTAGATAAGTTCAGAATCGAATGGTTACATTCAGATAGTACCAAAAAATGCATTAATCATTGCAGAAGCACATAGGAAGATGTCTTCTGCTTATAAAGCTTGCACAGTATGAAGGGGGAAAAATAAGTGACAAGTGATAATTGTAAGATTGGTGAGCTTTAAGACTACTATAAAATTGGACTGCTTCTTCAGATTGTTGTGTTTTGCTTGTATTGGCAATTTAAAACTGTCCCCTCTGATCAGCTGCTGTGAGTACTAGTTGACAAAGTTTTCAGGAAGAATTTTGGTAGAGGAAGGATGGCAACTTTTTTTTTCAATGGTTACATAGCATCTATTGTAATGAAAATTAGAGAGAAAAAACTAACAGAAATAAAAGTTATCTTTGCTTTTAAATTACGTCCTCCATTCATTTACTATAAAGGTAGCAGTGGAATTACTTTTAAGTCTGTAATAAATTCTTTTCTGTCATATTAATTGTCTTAAAAGGTTTATCGGCCTAAGAGTAGGTATGTTTAGCTTGGTGAATGGCTCAGACTTTTTTAGTTGGTCTTTTGTTCCAGCTCATTCCACAGCCAGATAGTCCAGTATAATCTTTGTGTTGAAATTTGTTTACAGTTCGGATTTCACTTCTTCATGTCTTGTTCGTCTTTTCAGCGATGCAAAATGCAACATGTAGGAACTTGATTGCAAGGGGAAGATAAAGGCAAGAAAGCTGCGAAAGCAGCATATTGAAAAGATGACTTTTTAAATGAGCTTGTTTTCCAAAATCTTTGGCACTTAAAAGGCAGTTTAAGTTAAAGATGTACTGCTTCCTATAGAACTGATATTACTGAATTTTTGTACTTTAGCTGAAGAAAACATGTATATATATAATCCATGGTTGGTAATTTCTTGATAGAGATTATGGCATAGGTCATGTTATGACTATCAGTATCTATTTTTTAAAATAGTCTTGATAATAAGTGATGATGACTTCTTTCAATTACCTTCAACCAGACACAGCTTCCTGAGATGGATGCACTTTCTTCAGAAAGGACCCGATCTTTTATATCTTGGCTTAGAGACGGTAGACCTCTAAGTCCAGTTCTTCAAGTAATAAAGTAAGTATTTGTGTTAGGTACTGAGAGATTATTGGCAACTTGTATCTACAGTTTGTATTTGACACTGATGAAAAGCAGAAATACCTCACCTGGAAGAAACTGAATAACATCCTCCTTCTAGCTGATGTAGTGCTGTTATCTAAAACTCCTTAGCGGCAAAGGTGATCTTTGAATCTAGTGCAAATTCAGTTACTGATGGCTTTATTGGTGGGAATTAGTTGCATATTTTTATATTGTTAAGAATATACTAAAGCATTGGATATCTTTATGATCAATGAGTTTGACCAGGTTAACTTCTGGTATAGCTTTTATAATTTCAATATATCCGTATAAAAATATTCAAGTGAGGTTAATAATCTGTAGATGGCTTAATAATTGTATGTATTTGTTAATGAGCTCCATAGGACAGCAGTTGATTTATGACATATGAGGCAAGTTCTGAAGCCTTTTCAAGCCATGACCCACTTGAAGAGAGTGTGATGACTTTCTTACTCAGATAAATAATGTTTAAACATATGACTGAAGCTCTACAGCTGTTGGTGTTGTGGCTGCTGGTTGAATTGCGAGTACTGCTGAGAGACCACAGTAAATAGCAGAGCTTTACTGCACGCTGTGCTATACTGGTACAGAGACTGAGCCCCAGCAAATATCTGCTGTGTCCCAGGAAATTCTTATTGGGGCAATAATTTTGGGTACTAGGTCTTCGAGATGTTTACCTTCTCTGTTCTGTTGCCAGATAAGAAAAAATGGGGAGGGGGTTGAGGTTACTTGTAACCAGAGATGTAAATTTTCCATTTTTTTTTCGTCTTTATCAGGACTTAATTTAACCCTTTCAGAATTCATTGCCACCAGCATATTTCTGAACTTCTAAAACAAAATCATTTTTATTTCCTTATTTGTGTTTCTACAAAATATTTTAAATGCTATTTCACCCTCTTTTCCACTCTGTTATACTTTTTAAAAAGATTCTGTTGGTTGATAGTGTGTTACAAACTTCAGGGTTTTTTTCTAAACTTTGTATTATTTGCAATTGTAGTATCTTTCGACTGAATCTAGACTCCAAAGGACAATAAGCAATTCATTAGAACTTATGCCTCTGCTTGAATTTACAGTGGATTTTTCGCTCAATGTTTGGACTAAAATGCCTTCCTCTCTACTTTCAGAGATGAGAACCCTGCCAAAACAGATTTTTTGCAGCATTTAATTGAGGATCGGACAGAAGCAGCTTTTTCATATTATGAATTCTTACTTAATATTCAACAGCAGATTTGTAAGTGAACAAGGAATAAATAGAAGAAAAATTGTGACTTCAGATGGAAGCATGGGCCAAGAGAAGCATATGGGAAGTTACGGAAGTGGATGCTTGTTCTTCACAATATACAGTGACCAGCACTGTTTCGGAAGCTTTACAGATGAAGAAGTATACATTTCCAAAAGAATTTTGCAGATTTACTTCAGTCTAAAAGTGCTAGGAGTGATGAAGCTGTTTTACTAGTAAACTTGAAATTGGTTTATACATGTTTCCAGTTGTGCAGCGGTATGGTGCTCTGTTTATTGCAAGCCGGTAAATTTATGTAGCTATGTGGGATGGTATTTCTTAACGAAATGAACAATTAGGTAAAGCTTTTTTTTCTTACGTTTATTATAGAAGCCCTTCCAGATCCAAATTGTTAACAGAGATGTCAAAGGGCCATGCTGTATGTTGGTTGTTTATATGAATTTCTTTTTAAAAGGAATGATTCATATTTACTAAAGACTTCAGCAAATTCCCTGTGAAAGTTGTAGAGTTTCAGTAAAGTACATCAGCTGTAGAAATAAGATATATAATGTACATAAATATTACATTTGTAAAGAAATGTAAAAAATATAACAAAAAAAAGACTTAGCTCAGTGTGTAGAATTATCGAGTGCTCAATGATGAATTGTTTTGTCCCAGGCTAGACAATGAAGTTGACTATTAAAACATGCTAAAAAAAAGTATCCATGTAGAAAGAACACAGCTGTTGCTTCTGTTAATTTTAGGTGAATTTATTTATGATTGGCTTACTAATTAAAAATATTTTGCTTTATCATGTGTTTTTATATTATGCAAGTATAATCTTTTTGCAACTAAACTCTTACTGAACTGAATATTGTGAAAAGAACATGTTTACCACTTTTTATTTCACACACCTCTGGAAAGGAGGACAAAACACTGCGTAGTCTGAAATGAGCTATTGATACAACGTTCTTAAAACCATGCTTGTGTGTTATCCTAAAGAAGGCATATCTGTTAGCCTTGTTTTATGTTTTGTGAACTACTGTAGTCTTGGTCCATGTTTCTGTAACTTGTGTTATCCTACCATTTAGAGTAAGCATGGGTAATCACTCACTCACAATTGATGATTTGATTTCTGCTGTGGGAAGAAAGAAGGGGGGGCGAAAAGGCTTTAAAATGTGAAAATTCAAAATGTAATCGCCCTGTTGCATATTTCCAAAGCCTTGATTTTGCTAATGTTTTGTTAACTCAATGGTTTGGGCTTTTCGATAGATTAATCACAGATTTTTAGATTTGGTTGTTAAGTTGGGGTGTTTTTTGTTTGGGTTTTTTTAGAGGCACGTTGGAAGTAATTCATAAAGCACAGTCACTCATTATTCTGAGCTTTGTTTATTTGTTTGGTTTAGTGAAAAGAGGCTACAATGAAATAAGTACAAAAAATTAGATGATTATTAGTATGATTACATTTTATTTTAAAGTAGCCTTGAAAATGCTAACAGTGCATTCTAATTGCTATAGCCCCTTAATCACACAGTCAAGAAAAAAAAGTACTAGCTATGGCTTGCAAAAGCTTTAAAAGCTGCACTAATTAAATTCTGCAAGTGGTGTTACTCTGCATGTTAGCACAATCTCATTGTGTGGAGAAGATGCCTTATTATAAGTTAAATCTGTGTGTTGTCCTTAACTGAATCTGTTTAGGTTACCCAAAGATTACTTCAGAGAAGCTTTCCACTTAGTAAATTAGTTTATCATGTAATCAGTGTCTGAGGCAATGCTGAATGTTGTCCCTAAATCCCTAAATCAAACCTCCAGGATTTCAGTACTTCTACGTTAATTTACACTGGGTGAAAGCTAAGTGCTGCTGAAGAGTGGGGCGTCTTAAAAATCATTTGTAGTTGCAAAGATGAGAGGGCGTGTTACAACTTTAAATGCGCTGTGATAGATGCTTCTGATTTGTGAGCTTGTTATTGAATATCTGGGAACATACTATGCCATGATTAATTGCAGTGTGTTCTGTAAAACCATTACTTAAAGCTTTATTCTTCTATGGGTTTTGTATATAGAAATTATGAAAAGTACATTTTGAGAGCTATTTGTTCAGTAAAATTATTACACAGCACAGAGAATCTAGTTATTGTTTACTAATTATAGAGCATATCTCCATAATGACTGATCTTTAGTGTAAACTTTGAAGAGGCTGTCTCATAGAAGCATCTTGAACATCTCAGGATTTAGTGTTTTGAGCAATAGAGTGTCTGTAGGCATGGTGAAAGTATCTAAAAGACAGCTTTGCTTGGGATAGTTGGATCACACCACTGTACCAGAAAATACACACGAAAGACGAGTCCCTACCCCAGGAGATGGACTGTGAAGCTCAACAAGCATTTTCTCTACAGAGTAAGATTTTTTGGAGGAGAGATAAGGGTCCTGCTTTTGTATTTGTTTACATGAAATTCCAAAGAAGATCTCTAGCCATTTTAGAGATTGAACTCTTCCCAAAATGCCTTCAACACTGCATGATATAAATCATGCCTATTCAGTAAGAAATTTAAGGTTTTCTGGGGAAAACATTTCCCAGTCCCAGCTAAGTAAGTCTTCGGGGGATCAGTTCAGATTCTCAGCGTGTTAAATACTGACAGAAATACCCTTTCTGTGTCTTAGTTGTAAAAGCAAAATCTTGTACCTCTTTTTACCAACAAAGTAGGGAGTTCTGTTGGAGAAATTACAGTCCAGGAAGCCCTTAACATGGTAGGACACATGATGCAGCTCCCAGAGAATTATTTCTAATCTTGATTCTGTATTACGTTCTTCAGCTTATTAGTATTCATTAATCTTGACGTAGAGTTTCATGGCAATGGAGAAAAAATGACCAGGTGCGGGTGATTTTATTTGTCTGTGGTTTTCTGTACATTTTGTCAGATACTGAAAATACGGTGTTGTCATTACTGTTGTTTTTAAAAAGCTACAATCAGTTGTTCGTAATCCTGAGAGTCTAGAGCTCTTCAGTAATTTTAAATGTGGAGTCTTACTTTTTTTCAGGCCAAATACATTTTAAGAATTTTACGCAGAATTTTCAGGGTATGGGACAGAAGTGGGTTTATGAGGGAACAATTACAACCTCAGTCACTGATTTCTGTAGTTAGAAGTATTTAACTCATGCATAAGAGTCCTGAAAGTTCTCATTTTTATTTCAGAGTATATTTTGTCTCAGTGCTGTGTTCTGACCGCAGGCAGGATGTAACCCTGCAAAAGCTTAGCGGCCACTTTAAGTCATAGCGAGTTTGTAGGTCTGAGGCTCTAGCTGGCAATGAATTTATGGAATACCCCAAATAAGTGTCAGTTACTATGTCAAAAATTACTTCAGTGACTTCTTGTTTAAAAGCAGTTCTTCAAATTTTAATACATATTAAACCTTTTATGTAATTCTTTCTGATAGTTTACTCTTTTAAAAAAAGGGTGGTGTCTGCACTATTGCTTCTCATTTTTGTCCATAGAGGAGGTAGAATATAATCACTCTTTCAGAATCACAAAAGTTAAGTTCTAACTAGAAAAATTTCATAGTTATTTCATGCCTGTCAGATAATTCTGAGATTTTAACATAACAGATTTTTTGGTGCAGTTGTGTGGGGAATTTTAAAGGGAGGGTAGGCAGACTATAATGTTTTATTGATATATCTTTCTTTGCCTGTCAGTTCCTAGAATTAAAAAAAGCACATTTCCAGCAGCATGCATACCTTTACTTAAACTGAGATTGTTATATTCAAATGCAGGGATCTGGAAAGTGTGGTTACAACTACTGGAATTTTCATGGAAAGGCATCTACTTGTTTGAGTGTAGAAGGAGAATTCTCACATGATTAGTGCCGCGTAAAAGAGATTATTACAAGAGGAATGAAAATTCAAATAACCACATTTGTAGGTGATTCTTCAATTTCTGCTCCAGTCCTGAATTCTTACCGATTTCCACTTACAGGGCCTTTGTTGTCTTTTGCTTTATGATTTTGATAACTAGAAAAAGATCAGATACTTTACAGATTTTTTTTCTTATTTTCTTTCGAAGGTCCTTAGCAAAAGTGATGGAGCTGCCTAATTAGGAATATCAATCTTGCACAGGATTTTAGCAGTTACACACTTCTACAGTAGATAAGTAAAAGGAGATGGCAGAACTCCTGGAAATATTTCAGAATTTAAAAAGTGTTTTGAAAAGGAGAATGAGTTTTAAATTGTGTTTTTCTTGCATCTGTTTATGATTTTCTGGTTTATATTTTCTTAAAGCTATGTATGTGGCTTGTATTTGATTTTTCAGATGTTAAGAGAATACTACCCTAGAGACGTCAACAAATACAGATCTCCAATTACACCCTTAGTCATGTTACAATTAAAAGTGACAGTTTGTAGAAGGTCAGGAGTGCTGGAAGTAACTGCTTGGCTAACAAGTAGTACAAGATTTCCATTCTTGTTTTTATCAACATGAGCAGAAAGTCTCTGTTTGTGAGACACTGAGGCCTTATGAGATTACGTGAAGTGTTTACTGGCACAAGAATCCTCAAGGATGAGGAAGAGTTGGTGATCATTAACTGTCTTGGTAATACGCTAGCCATAGGAAATGTTATTCTTCTAAATTGTTTGAAAATATTTTTTTAAAATTAAAAAAATATTTTGATGTTAGAATATCAATGAGGGGGGAAAAAAAAATCACATTTAGGATAATACTGTAGATACGATGCTTTCAAAAAAATTCTACAGGCTGTAAATCCCAGCTCTTGTACTAAAAATTACCTGATGACCTAACCCTGAAGCAAAGAAAAAAGAACAGAATGTGTAGCAGTCATCTGTAGCTAAGGAATTCTTTCTGCTTTTCTTTGTCTCTTTGTTGGCTGAATGCGCTGCCTTCATTACCCGCTGTAGAGTTTAGGAGAATCCAGGAGTAAAAGTAGAACTGGAGCCACTGGTATGCATGATGGATGTCTGCATCCAGCTTGCTCAGCACGTGCATAGCTTCTGAAAGGCTGGTGCTTGACTGCCTATACAGATGTTGGGGTTTAGCAATTTCTTGTGATATGGCTGTATTTCTAAGTGCCTTGTATGTTCATTCAAAATAAAAAGCCGTTTTCCAGGCTTCCTCTTTTCCCCCTTCCAAACTATTATGTCTAATTACCAAAAATACTTTACACAAAAGTGTAATTTATTCTTGGAGAGCAAGCATAAAAACTCTCAAGCCTTCCAAACATGTATTTTGAAAGTGTAACTTCCTGGAAAGAGGGTGGAAAGTACCTCTGCAACCATGACCATGGTGCCTCTAGCAGTGTGGATGGATTAGTTCTGCAGGAGGAATGCATCCGTTGAGAAAAGCAGCACACGAGGGGTCTGTCAGCTCCTCCATCGCTGTCAAACTGCAGCTAGATCTTCGAGCGGCGCTGCCCACCCACCTGCTCTGGCATCCTGTCTCCTTGGAGAGTGGCTGCTGTTGGGTGGTCTGGGGTGAAACGTGAGAAATCCCTGGTGCGCGGGTTGTCCTACCCTGAGTTGTGGCTCTGCCTTACGTACTTAGAGATCAGCCTGACGTGAAACCCTGCTGGCATTTTTGCTACTCCAAATAACTGAGTATTGTTGACTTTAGATTGAGTAATTTCTTGTGATGAAAAGCTTTGCAATCACCTGTGAAGAAAAGTGTAATTTTTTCTTACTCTGAAAAGTTTATGAATGATCCGTAGCTTCCTGTGCTGGGGAGAACAGGA